TATCTAGCAGCAAGTAAGATACATTGATAGTTTTTGATTATTTATATTTTTAAGTAGGGAATACAATGCAAACTGGAATAGCAATTAAGTCCTAATCATAATAAAACTAAGCATCACCACTGGTGGAATATCTCACTGCCTCACACTACACGTCCATCACCAAACAAATATAGTGATGGCCACATTAAGAGCATGACCACAGCTTCCAACCATGATCCAATGATGCTTTGGGGATCAGAGCAATGCACAACATTCTCCAGAAATAGTAGTTAGAATATATGTCTCTTTTTAATTGTCCTCTTGACGACTCGTCCCATTTACTCAGTAATGCCAAAACTTTGCCAACGTGGTTTCCATAAAGCTGAGCTGGAGGCTCTTTTCTCAGGGAACATGAAGAGTATGGATGGACCTCATGTGTAAAATAAAGGCAGCTAACTGAGATGGCATGAGGGGGATTTACAGAGAATTCCAGCGGGGAATACCTCCATATGCTTCCCGCTTCCATGAACTGCACTCAACGGGAGCCTTATGCACACATTACTCTTGTCAAGAGGCAGCTTGAAAGGTATTTAAACCCTGGGCCCACAGAGGAATACCAGCACAGACACAATCTACTCCTCAATCCTGCAGAAGCTCCATTTTGTAAACATTGCTCTTAAATTATCTTGACTTAGCAGGTGGTGGGGACGGCTCTTGAGAATATATGGATTAAATAAAGGTCAAACTAAAGGTCAGCACTTTAAATGTCTATACACAAAGATACATAAATACCACCTAAATAAATACCACAGCTCAAAAGAGAGAGAAAACAAGAATCTTACTCATAAAATTGAATGCTTGCATGTCTGCGCCTGTAATCAGGATGAACGTGTTACTTGGGAAATGACTCACATCATAACTACGTTGGCCACACTCTCAATGTATTCCACATGTTATTGATTTTTCTGTTTCCCAGGCTTTGGTCTGCAGTCGTAGAGTTTCTCTTGAAAACAGAATGGTATTTATGTCAATAACCAACAAAAATCCTTTCTGCCTCATTGTGGGTGAGTATGACTTTCTTCTGGCTTGTAGGGGCTGTGACAGTACAACCTCAGTCAGTAAAACAGTTGGCAGCGTGGATCATAATTTTATTACTGTGATGACTGTCGGACTTTATTCAGATCTAAATACCTCCTTATGGCACGGTGATGCACAAATATACTTGGCTGCCTACTAACGGCTGCTGTTTACCAGAACGCATGGGTTAAATCATCTGTAAGAAAATACTTGTTAATGGTGCTAATCTGGCTTTCCTGCTCTATATTTATCTCGATATGTTTTCAAAGTTGGACATGCAGTTTGGGCGCTTACTGATTACAGTATTTTGTGAAGCTTCACATTCAAACCAATGTAAACTGTGAAACTATTCAAAGTAATGTATTTTTCACAGTGAGGCATACATGTGTTTTGGTTGTGGCTGTTGACTAAGGTGTTTTGAAGTGTTTTGGTTGTGGCTGTTGACTAAGGATGATGCTGTGAAAGAGTAAGCAATAGGGCAGTGACTATTTTTTCCATTTGTCGTCAGAGGGAAGGTGGGGGGGGGGGTCAACCTGGTTCGGGCCGTTACATTGATGTCCAGCCTTTGCTAATTATGTTTGGGTATTAAATCTGATATTACACAGTGTGGTTGCCAATTGGCGATGGAAACTGGCAACTTAGGCTTGTCTGTTGGTTCACTGCGCTCATCTGGATTATGGAAGAGGATTTACTTTTGGCTGATTGTCCTCCTGTGTGATCACTTTTCATGTGCCGATGAAGAGAAGTTTGAAGCAGTGATCTTGGAGCTGATAACTGCAGACTGTGGTATTTCTCAGCTTACCATTCTCTATTTCTCACATGATGGGAGGCTAATATGTTCTGCATGTAACGTTGAAAATTTTGAAGGGATTTTATTAGCAGCCACAGCAGTAAAAGGTAGAACATGGCAGCATGAAGTTGTTTATTTTGTTCAGAGTGCAACACTGCGGGTGGTCAGGAGGAAAAAAAGTGGCAACTTCTGTTCCTGCTGCCAACTTATAACAATATTCCATTGAGCTGCTCTGCCATTATGTTCCCTCGCTCTATTTCTTCTCAATTCTAAAAGGTCAGGATCATAATCCAAGCAGTGAGATTTGAGTATGGTCAGAGTGAGTCACGCCATCGAAATGATGTGCCACCATAATGAGAGACACAGAGCTGGTGCACACACTGTAGCTGTTCATTTGACCAATCACACTAGAATGCACAGACACAGCTTTAAGGATGAAAACGTGAACGACCTCAGTGGCATGTCTGGGACGTGCCACCATTTAATTTGCCCTGGTGCCACGGGAATCCTTTTAAAAAGTATCCTTTTTTTAAAGTTTTTTGACCACGCCACATTCAACAAAGGTTCTAAAAATAATTTTAAAAATAGCATCAAAATCCCAAGAAAATTATAGGCCAACTAAACAGCAATTGTTCTGAAAGCACGATTTTGCCAAATTGGGTCAGTTTAGCAAATACATAAATTCATAAATTTCATGAAGGCATAGTATGTAGGATTTTTACATAAATAAACAAACAGTAGAACCACAAAAAATGAAGCCTCTACAACATGTTAAAAAGGTTGAAATATTATGGTGTTCTTTAATCTTCAGAAAATGTGCTGTCTGTTTTTTTTTTTTTCTATTTCTTTTGAAAATGTTCTATTCGTGATTCAAACTGCAGTCTCAGTTGCATGCCATTAGGTGGTAGCGTTGCAACTTCAAAGTTTGACAGCTGCTACTAAAACCCAAACTTAGATGGAGTGAGGGAGTGGGTCGGGGGAGGGCAAAATTAGTTTAGGTTAGCAGGAGGGAGACAAGAATGCATTGCAATAAATACCTGGAGAAGTACAGCACCTGACATGAGTGGGCGCTGAGCGCTAAAGTACTAGTGTAGAGAAGGATCACAGCAAGCATTTATGTTAACGTTACGAGGTGCATTTCTTGTTTTTAGAAGGCAATTGGTCTTCATTAATTTATTACTTGTTGACGAACAAAATTGACTTTAGTCATAGATTACACTGTTTTACCGGTGTACTCACCTAATGGGCCCAGCCCAACAAATGTGCTGTTAGCATGGCCTACAGAGAGCCTGTCAGTGCAGAAACTGTTCCTTCAGATTTTAACTTTCTTGTTACTGTTTTCTCTTTCTATGCAACACATTTTTAATCTGAAAAACCAGACAGTTTAGAATGTTAAAAGTAGTGTCACTAGTCTCAAGGGTGTTACTGCGTCTGCTGACAGCTATTTAATTAGGTAACATACCAAGAATTCCTGAGTCAAAGGAATAACAGCACTGAAACTGCATGTCAATAAATTACAGCTCCATCTATCACAGTATTGCACAACTTGGCTAAGGCAGAGTTTCTCAGCCAAGATAGTTAAAGACACCTGTCACTGATTTATGTCACATATGCAGTAACCCTAACTTTAACCTACCGTTTAGGTGTACTTTATTTTGAGTTTTCAATCACTGGAGTTGCAGTATTTGTTTTTTGGGCCAGATGACAATGGTAATTAACGGACAGCAGATGTCAGCAGTGGGTCAGCAAACACCATGTGGTCTTTCAAGTGTCGTGCTTCATCTCACTTTGACTTCAATATGTTGCGGAAGCATAAGTGGCTAAAGTTATATAACTTTAATGTAACAGCAAAAAGAGACATATTTTTTAGAAAGAGAACCACGAACTGAATAAAGGAATGAGGCTGTTAATTTAATCCAGATCGACAGTCACGTGTGCAGCCAAACATACACACCCATGGAGTTGTGAGCAAGCTCTTCCAACTTCCTGGCTCTTTGTCCAATGCACACACCCACAACAGACAACACCCATGCAAAGTCCTCGGTAAAGGGTAAAGAAAGGAATAATCAAATGACAGTATTTGAATCTCAGAGGTTGTGTAATAAATATCTAAAAATCAGAGTCACATGCTTTGCCATCACAATATATGAGTAATGTTCCTGTAGTTTCACTTCTACAGCTGCCACCACAGAATCACATGGCTCTTTTCTGTGACTTGTGTTAATCCGATGCAGCCCAGATCCAGCCACTGCACACTGTACTGTTATAACATTGCTTACTTATCTTTCATGTTACTCCTACGCCTGGTATGCAACGGGCACGCATTATCTCACATACAAGAAATGTCTGCAAAACTGAATGAAGAAAAACAACCCCATCACATAATCTGGTCTAGGAACATAGTATTATTGGAGCGAAGAGGAGAAATACTCCCAAAAGCACCACACCTCCCTGCTTTGGCTTTAACTCGTGTGTAGCTATCTGCAGGGAACAGGCGAGGCTGAATCTCAGCACAGAGCCCCACCTTATTGGAATGACAACACATCTGTGAAATCTCATTTGGCCAATTCTCAGTGTCTGCACAGCCTAATTCATTACTCAACAGAAGTCCAACTCCCCCACCCAAAACATTTAGATAAGCAGCAACTGATGTGTGTAAATATTGCAAAAATGATTTTGTAGCATAAACCAACTGTCTATAATACACTAATGGACATGCTATGGCAGTGTTAGTGATTGCACATCTATTTGAACACACGATAATTAAATCACAGCTACATCCCAATGTACTCTTCGCATCTCCACTCCAAGACTGTTCCTAAAAAGAAACTGACTTTGACTCTTGTCTACATATCAAAATACAAGCAGAGCTTTGCCACACGTAACCAAGAGTCCTAAACTGTAATCAAATCTCCCCAAATGATGCTGAATGGCGTGCAGTTACATGTAATTACAGCACTGGAATGCTCTCTGAGTTTGAAATACAATATGTAGTTGACAATCTACAAAGGCATCATTAGAACAGTGCCCAAAAAGCAAAACTAAGACCTCCCACGCTTCAAAAGAAAGGTGGGGATTTCAGAGTAAGACCAATTAGATCACGTGCATTTATACAGCAACATAACGCAGGAAATAGGAAGAGACTTTGACAAACCTTCAAGGAAGTTTGGCCATGTCTTCTCCTCTGGCTCCTCCAGAGAGTGGTCCCATCCCACGTCAGGTGAGGCTCCCTTCACCTTGGCAGCCTCTTGCAGAATTGCCCGTTCTTTGGCGATTTCTTCCAAAACGTCCAGATCCAGTTCCTCCTCTTCCTCTTCAGGTTGCACAGGTGGAAGAGGTGGCTCTGCCCCAGCAGCTTGAGGACTGACAAGCTGCTTCACCTCAATGATCTCTTCAACCACTACAATTTTCTTCCTCATGGTGGCCTCGTCAATGTCAGGGCAGACAGAGTCACAGCTGTCACTCAAATGAGGTTGGTCAGGCACAGCAGCTGCGGGTGTGGCAGGGGCAGAGGGTGTGTCCTCTTCCAAGTTTCTCTTCCTCGATTCCTCCTGTGTTGAGGCCTCGGAAACAGAGAGCCTTTTCTCTGTGCTGCACTCTGCAGCCTGAGTGGCCAAATGTTGTGCAACTATGGGAGGCTCCTCTTGCTCGACGAGGGGGCTGGCCTGTGTCTGAGCTCCAGCTGCCTCTGCTGTTTCTTCTGACGCTGATTCTCCGGCTGCGGGTGCTTCCCTCACAGTGGAGGATGTTTTTGGTTTTGGAACCTCCCGCTTGATTTTTTCAACAGAGAGCTGTGTTGGCTCCTCCTCCCTTTTGTCTGCTGGGGCCTCAGAAGGAGCAGCTGCCTCCTGCACGACTTCCTCACTGCATATTCTGTCAGGAGACATCTTTGGAGAAACATCCAATTCTGTCACAGAACCACTGTCTTTAACAGTGACCTGAAGCAAAGTTGTACTGACAGTTGGTGCTGGTTCATCTGCCTTAGGTGAAAGGACAGACTTTGTGTCTACGATCTCTGTGTCTGGAGTTTTAGTCTGCTTTTTTCCTTTGCCTTTCTTTTTACTCTTTGACTTTTCCTCTGCAGCTTTCTCTGTGCTCACACCGTCTTTAGTCTCAACTACAGCTTTTTGGGTCTCTGATTGTAAAGTAGAGACTTTCTTTTCAGGACTGAAACTTTCTTTTAAAATTTCAACTTGAGTTATTTTTTGCACAGTCACCATTTCAACCCTGTGAATATCTGTATTCTCAGTTTTCATTGCCTCCATGTGCAAGGAATTAGCATTTGATGCGTCATCAGTGCACACTGGTCCCTGTGAGGTCTTACACAGAGTAGTTACACTGCTCTGTGCAACCTTCTCCTTGACATGTGACTCGCCTTGAATCACCACAGGGGGCTCTGCAGGCTTTTGGTCAACGCTTTGGGATGTTTCCTTAGTTTGTTGGAGGACTGCTCTGGGCTTCTTTTCACCTTGATGAGGAATGTCTTTTTGTTTCCTCACTTCTTTGATGTCCTCCACAAATGTGTTTTTCTCAGACTCAGGTACAGGCTCTGAGGTAACCATTGGTACTGGCTGGACTGAAATTTTGGTCACTTCATTCAGTGGCTTGTCCTCTGAGGTCATTTTCTTTTCAACTTTTGCATTTATTTCTTCCTCAGCATTAACACCTTTAGAATTCTCGGCTAAGGATTTCTTTTTTTTCCTTTTTGATTTGGAGCTTCCTTCTACAACTTGTTTGGCTTCATTAATCGCCTCAGTTTCCTCAAAACTTGTACCAGACTGAGATAAGGACTCTGCCTGTGCAGATTTAGAATCCTGCAGTAAGACGTCAGTGACAACCTCCTTAGACATTGTTTCTTTTGTGCCACGAGGTTTGAACTTCACCTCAGTTTTATCCTGTTTTGTAATAACTTCTTCAACAGTCTTCTCAACTACATCTTTAAGATTGGCAGAAGGAGCTGAGATATTTGTACTGACGTTAGTTGTTACTTCAAGTACCAAAGGCTTGGACGTAGTTGTTTTCAGTGACTCTGCCTCCTTTTTGGTTTCTGTTGAGCCATTCATGTGTGGCTGTGTTGCACTGCTGGCTTCCTGAACCACTTTAGCCCCAGAGCTTTTAGCTGCTGTATCTGTGGACAATGCTGACATGCTAATGTCAAGTTTAGTGGTCTCCTGAGTCACGATTACTTGAGCAGACTTTTTAACCTTTATATCATCTTTTTTTATTTCAACTTTGGTCTTCGGTTCTTCAGGTTTAAGAGCTTCTTCCTTTTTGTCCACATTCTGGCCTCCTTCTTTCTTGACATCCTTTTTCACAGGTTTGTCAAAGATAATGTCAGATTTAGTGACAGTTTCAGTTACAACTGTGGTGATTTTAAGGTCAGAGTCTTTGGAATTAGCAGTCGTGGGCTGAACTTTGTCACTAATAGTATTGTCTGTTTTTTTCAACACAGCAGATGTAACAACATGCTCCTGCTTTTTTGAATTTTTTTCTATAATAACTTCTTCACTAACAGGTTCTGTGATAACTGACATGCTAATATCTGGTTTGTTGGTCTCCTGAGTCACGATTACTTGAGCAGACTTTTTTACCTTTTTATCATCTTTTTTCATTTCAACTTTGAGTTCTTCAGGTTTAATGGCTCCTTTTTTGTCTGCTTTTTGGCCTCCTTCTTTCTTGACATCCTTTTTTGCAGGTTTGTCACAGATAAACTCTGTGGTGACAGTTTCAGTAACAACTTTAGTGATTTTAGGTCCACATTCTTTGGTATCAGTGGTTGTGGACAGATTTTGATCACTAATAGTTTCAACCGTAGATTTCAAAATAGCAGAAGTAACAATATGCTGCTGCTTCTTTGAAGTTTTTTCTATAATAACTTCTTCACTAACTGGTTCTATGACAACTGACATACTAATGTCACTGTCACTAACAGGTTTGGTGATCTCCTCAGTCACGATTACTTGGACAGATTTCTGTACCTTTTTATCATCTTTTTTTATTTCAACTTTGGTCTTAAGTTCTTCAGGTTTAATGGCTACTTCTTTGTTGACATCCTTTTTTGCAGGTTTGTCACAGAAAAACTCAGATTTGGTGGCGACAGTTTCAGTAACAATTTTGGCACTTTTAGGTGCAGATTCTTTGGTATCAGTGGTCATGGGTTGAGTTTTTTCACTAATAGTTTTGACTGTAGATTTGAGCACAGTGGATGTAACCACGTGCTGCTGCTTTTTTGAAGTTTTTTCAATAATAGCTTCTCTAACAGGTTCTGTGATAACTGACATGCTAATGTCTGGTTTGGTGGTCTCCTGAGTCACGATTACTTGGGCAGATTTCTTTACCTTTTTATCATCTTTTTTCATTTCAACTGTGGTCTTCAGTTCCTCAGGTTTAATGGCTCCTTCTTTTTTGTCTGCTTTTTGGCCTCCTTCTTTCTTGACATCTTTTTTTGCAGGTTTGTCACAGATAAACTCAGACTTGGTAGTGACAGTTTCGGTGATAAATTTGGTGATTTTAGGTGCAGATTCTTTGGTTTCAGCGGTCATGGGCTTCACTTTATCATTAACAGTATTGTCTGCAGTTTTCAGGACAGTGGAGGTTTTTTCTATAATAACTTCTTCACTAACAGGTTCTGTGATAATAGGAGCAGCAGTGATAGTGTTGTTAGAAAAACCGGTTGATTCCTGAGCAGCAGAAAATGTCACGGTGGCTTCAGGCATCAAAGAATCTGTTGTCATAACCTCTGCGGATTTAATTGATTTCAGACTTGATTCTTTGGCTTTGTCTCGACCGATCACTGTATCATGAATTATTGTAGTGGATAACATTGTTTTGCTCATTTCCTCGGACTTAATAGGTTTGTCATCAGAGGCATTTAACTTCTCCTTGGATCTTTTGGAAATGAGTTGATCAAATGGAACCTTTGTGGTCGCAGCATTTACAGCATTGATGGTTGCAGGTACACTTCCTGGAGGTGAGGCTTTTGATGACAATGATGTCACAGTAGTCTGTGAAACATCATGTTTCAAACCTGGTTTCTGAACTAGGTCGGAACTTGATGCCTTCTTTTGGTTCTCAATTACTCTTCTCTCCTGAGAGGTTGTTAGCTGCCTCTCACTGCTTACATCAGACTGTAGACTAGAGCCTTTCTTCATCCTGCTCTCCTCCATCATTGTAGCTTCACTTTTAAGGCTGTTCCCTCTCTCAAACAGAGGCCGACGTTGGTCCACTCCTTCCCATGATGCCTTTGGTTTGAAGGAATCTGCATCTAATGGCCGGCCTCTGAACCTGGGGGTCCTGTCAGAGCTTCCTCGTTCTCCAGGACCCATCATCTTATGGCGGTAACCCTGACGCTCAGCATGTGCCTCTTGGCTCTCTCCTTCACATCTTTGTCTCGGTTTGGGAACGTAAGATGTAGGACCTTCCACAGTTTGTACCCGTGAAGCCCTTTGGGCAATGGCTAGAGTAGCGGCTGGCTTCCTCACCCTTTGCAGGGATGCAGGAACAATCTCAGGTGGCAGGTTGAGGTAGTCACGTAGGTAAACAATGCCCTCATTGGTCAGGTACCAGTAGTAATGTCTCCAGGCAAATGTCTCCTTTACTAAGCCCCTAGACTTAAGAGATCCCATAGCCCGGATTACCTGTAAGTTGGTTACAACTTGTACCTCAGAGTGCTTGATTTGAGGCCTCTTGTCTTTCTTGGCCACCATGACTCCATCACGAAACAGGACCTCATAGATAGCCCTCAGATCCCGCAAGGGCATCAGCATTCCGGCAACCATTTTACTTTTTTATGAGTAAAAACAGTCAATGAAATACTATATGAACAACAGGAAAGATAAAAATTAAATGTTACACAACGTGTGTAAGAAAAAATCCTCAGAAAAAACAGCTGTCACGTGTCTCCTAATTCAATGAGAAAAAAAAAGAAAGATAATCCTTGTTGTCTTTTTCTTACTTTCTCTTCCTTTTGTTTTCCTCCTTGACGAAAAAATGTAGTTCCTCTCTGAAACTGGACTTAAACAAGGTCCAAAGTGTACCGTCCCCCCTGCATTCAGCGTGGCTGGGAATGAACAGTCTCCCGTCTGCCGAGATGGCAATGACAGAATGGAAGTGAGGCAGCGTGTGTGAGAGAGTGTGAGAGAGAGTGAGTGAGGCAAACTACTCAGTGCAGCTCCTCCCACCTTCTCTCCTAGAGTCTTAGTAATACAACTGGCATGGAAAAAAAATCTAACCAGAGTAAATGTTACAGCAGGAAGTAGGACACGATGAAATAAAAAGAATTAACTAAAAAAGAATGAGAAAAGTCTGAAGACTGCTAAATGGTGTCGAAGCACATGTTCTGTTTCTCTGTAACTTTTACAGACACCCATCCACAGAGGACACACCTCCTACTTATTGTACACACACTACTCTAAACAATAGTGGCATAAACACACCCTTCCATAAGCCACACACACACACACAGGCACACTTTGGACCAATGAATGGCCAGGCCTCATCAGAGATTAGTTACTGTGTAAGAAAGATCAACGACCAGTTGGCAGCTACATCTATCTCGCCTTGACGGAACCCGTGAAGCATTTGTGTAGATTATTATGTCCAAGGTGTCTAGTTTAACCCGTCTATCAATCAGATGTTACTGAAGAAAACTCCTGAAGAAAACACGGGGTGCAGTTTGCAGGTATCGTGTCACACGTCTATGAATATGAAAGCCCGGTGACATTAGGAGGAAAAAAACAGCCCTACCAAATACCCTGAATCATTTATGATCCATATTTAAATATAAACAGAACAACATATAAATAATTGAACAGAAAAGAACACATGTGTCACTGTCATGCACACAGGGTTAGTTTGATATGAGGCACACTAAAAGAAATCCACCAAAAATAATATAATATATGACTCTATTCATAGCAGTGTTTGTTTGTTTGGAGGATCTCCAGGCCACCGGGAAAAAAAAGGAAGCTACGCAGACTAATCAGTGTTTCTGAGTGCACTTTATTATAGTGATGCAACAGGCTGCAAAGCTCCCTAAACATGTGCTGCTCCTTCAGGGAGGCTAACACCGGACCATGATTTCTCCATTTAGCCAGGAAACATGAATCTCTGCCCCCACAACTATATAAAGAGCTGTGCATTATAGCTAACCTTTTCAGCCCTCTCAGGAACATGATATCAGATTTCTATCCTGCGATCACTTCTGTACATCTGTCTCCCGTTCGTCTCTGTGTGTCAGTGAGAGTGTCCCGTCATGCTCAGTCCGGTTACAGCAGGGTTGGACGGACGACTGACCACAGTTCTAAACTGAGCGGAGGACCACATGTTTGCTCACAATGAATGAGAAGCAGGAGAACAGTGGAGAAACAGCACCGGGCTGGAACATTAAGATCCAGTTGCAGTGAAACGAAACAGTATTTTCCCTGCTGCGCACAAACCACACACACACACGATGACACATCCAAACACCAGCTGAAAAAAAATGTTTTCTTTTACTCCATGGCAACAGGCAAATGAAGTACTTCAGTACTAAGTGGACACTTACCTACGACCACAGGACGTACATGTGTTTTATTGAAGGGCTGGACAACAGCATTATTTCTAAAACAACAGAACTACTGACTCACTAATGTTTTTCAGGGGATTAAACAAAAGACAACAAATTAAAAACTAAAACTGTTAAATAATGGACAGTTTTTTTTCTTTTTGGTTTTAGCAAACATTTTCACCACTTTTCATCCTTATTGATGTCTTCACAAATGCTGTCAGGAATACCTTTCACGGAGCACCTGTCTAGTTGAGGTATGCAACAACTGCCCCAGGACATGGCAACTCTACCTAAAGCATGCATTGACTAAGGCATACTTCATAATGTTTTATTATCTTAAGCAGTTCAGGGGAAGATAATGACTGGTGTAGGTTGGGTTTTTTAAACACAGGTGGAACAAAAGGATTCTTAAGTTACATGTGCGAGAAAGACATTCCATTTATAATGAGGTCAATTTTGTATCATTTAATAGTTAATCACTGAGTGTGGATATACAGTGTCTGAGGTATAATTAACCCTATATAAAGGTGCTCCTATTTATCCTATTTATATTATTTAAAAAATATATAAAAGGCCAGTTGCATAATCAAAGCATGATTTTCACCTACACACGCAACATTTTACAGCTAAAATCTTGAACTTCCAGATGAAACAGAAATGTAGCAAAAACACCCTTTTTATTTTAACAGACTCAAGGTTATACAAATTAAAAATTCCCTATCTGTTTACACATGCATAACTGATAAAGCAGAGAACGCAACCTGGGGTTCAGTAGCATTTACAAAGCAGGTCATCAATCTGCTGACAAACTAACGAATCAGATTTCATTACACTGCATGTGACGTACAGGTGTCACTCTCAAGTGACACCTGTGATGCAGAGATGTGACAGTGAAAGTCACATCTCTGTGACTCCTAACATTAAAGCTACAGTCACAGACAGTGGAAAGAACACATGAAACTACAGCTGTCTTTTATGTCCCGTGTTCGGTGACATTAGCAGCATTTATGACAATAATAACAGCATATTCAATGGCATTAGAATCTACAACCTTTACATAATCTAATTTTACTGGAGGTGTAGCCGACACTGCAGCAGTCATCCACGGACAGAATAATGAATGATGTGTTCCCCTAAAGCACTTCCAGCAGTGGCCTGAATACTCTCTTGGCTGTAAGTCAAGTACTGTGTAAAAGTTTCAGACCTCCACAAGTCCCAGAATAAACTTGTCACCACCACCTGATGATGGCTGCCCAGTGGCCCACTCTAAAGTACTGGGCCTATTATGACATCAGACCTGAGCCACACAGACGGTAAAGGTCAGTAGGTTTTTTTTATTACCTCCTAGTTTGGCTAATAGAAGACTAATGAGGTAGAATCAATGACACAATTGTAAACTAATGTCCACCTCATAGACCAAATCAAAGTTACTTCCTCAGCTACCTCAGAGACTTTTAAAAACAGATAAATAGGGCAGCCCTTACTCCAAATCATGACTTGCTCTTTTGAAGGAACCTATATTTATGCCTGTGAGCTGGCAACAGCCATCTCTGGAGCCATTATGCTTTATAGATAGCTCATCTGACTGATCACGTGATGGGAGTCTGTTTTCAAATGGCACATGCTTGGCACCAGTCTTTAATCAAACCACATCAGAATCTATAGGTCCAGGGTAGAACAACCTTTACCAACTATATTATTGGAAATAATACTGAATACACAGTATAAAGTACATCATCCGAATATCATAAAGACCGAATATATTTTTTATATTAACAATCACATGAGTCTGAGCAGACATGAATGAATGTAAACTGCAACCTGACACACGTCAGAGGTGATAATGTTGGTTATTTGTGGAGCTCGTTCTCATTGCTGTGTACAATCAGGGCCACTCCACTCCCACCCAACGCCAGGAACAGCTGCGACCCCCGATAGAGCTGACACAAGGTGAAGCAGCGACAGCTCTGACCAACTGCTAATGTAAGCAAATTAAAGACTCTTTATTCTTAATTACTTAAGTAATTTAATTAATTAATTAATTTTGTAATTAATGAATACCATTTAACTAAATTGAATTCCTTTTTTTTTTGGTCAATTACACAATGTCTTGATAGGGGGCTTAAAATGTCCAGTGGTAGGTCTACCACCTGCCACCAAAAGGCTCTGGGTTTAATATCACCTTGTGCCCAAATCCTGGATTGGGTTTCGTCAAGAAACCCAAGGGTATCTGGTGTAAAAACTCTGCCAGATCACTATGCAGACTGTGGTAACTCCTGATGTTCACAGTTGCTCATCCCTCACAAGCCCAATGACACCACAACGTCATTCATTTTATTAGTGGGCCAATGGGACGTTTGCAATTTTTGTGGCTATAAAAAACATACAATGTTGACAATGCACTTCTTAACCTCAATGGACCTCAGATGGCAACCTTGGCTGTTATCTGCAAAGGTCATAATGCTCCACAGTGTAAATTAGCACTCAATTACTGAGAGAGCAAATGGTCTTTGAGCTGTTAGCAGAACGAAGCCACAGGGATCGCCCTCATGTGCCGACCATGTGTTTGGACCGGTGTGATGGCAGCGATCTGGAGGAGAGTCTGTACTCTGTGTATCATGCCTACACAGAAAAGAGGAGTAACTACGAAAAAACAAAAAATCCTGTTCTATATACTGTGCCCACAGAAGTGAGCTGAACCACAAATTACCAGCAGACAAAAAGACGCTGTGTGTTTGGGAGCTATAATGAGGGTGGAGAGTGAGAGGTGCGTTTGGCATTCATCACACCAGTCATGAAAAATAAACAATAGTGGATGTTTCTAGGATAGCAGATGTTCAAGGAAGAGGTACTTTACAGTAAAATAAATACATCTTCCCTCTTTCCCCAGAGCCGGGGGGCAGCCACAGGGGGAAATTCTGAACTTGATTAAAACTATGAAAATTGGACTTGAAGATTTGCCAAACTGAACTCTTTAAAATACTACACTACAATACTATAATATAGTCTTGGAGTTATATAAGACTTGCAGAAGGCAACTGTGGAATATAGAGATTGCTTGATTTTTTTTAGTAGAGAAGAAAACAGTTCAGCTTCGGGGGAAAAAAAAAAACCTTTTATAGACGCTACGAGCTGAATAGTTTACTGTGCAGGAAAAGTTAAAAGACGTCCGTTTTTGGCTTTTGTCTCACCAATGTAGACATAAATGCACAGTAAAAAAATCATGGATGAATGACTGCTGAGGTGAAACTGACAGGCCATGCTTGTGTGCTCCAATCTCACACAGTCCACTGACTTCTTTTTTTTTTTTCCAGAGTGGAAAAAAAGAAGTCACAGTATAAGTCTTTGTTTGCTGGAAAAGAAACCAAAGGAAACTAAAAAAGGCAGCCAGGATCTTCATTTTTAGTTTCACTTTAACATCACATTTACACATAAGAAACATATTTAAAACAAGAGTTCTGAGGTGAAAGGCTGTGCTTTGCACACGCATTATTTTTCACACTAATGTTAAATATCCTGAAGCACTTTCAACAATGTGATAGTTGTTCTTACTGCTGAATATAGCATGCCATCTGAAACGTATTTTTGTGATCCAGACATAAAATGTTGCCAAAGTCAAGCTGTGGTGGTTTACTCTGCACAACAGCCAGTAACCGTCAGAGCTCTTTGTTTTGCAAACAAGTTCCAGCAGTGGGATTTGAAGCAGCCCTCAAATCTCGTTCTTTCTCTTGCAAGAGCAACAGGCCAGCTCAGCGAAATGGCAGCCAGGAATCAGAATCAGCATGCAAAAGGGATGGCGTTACACCATTCAGGTGTTTGAAGGTTAAAAGAAACCATTGCACAATTCATGTCTCACTTGCACAACTACTTCCTCTCCACCACTAACTCAAAAAGGCATGACTTGTGGTCTGCAGGTGGCCACTCCTCTCGATGACGTTGATCACTCATTTGCTGTAGTTTATTTAGATTCCCTAAAATCACTCACCTTTTTTTGGGCTCAGCCAGAACCTGTCTCCCAGTGGATCTCCTATGTCCATGCTGCTCTTACACAACATCCTGTATAAAAAGCCTTAGCAGTTCCAATAAAGCAGGACACCTTCCTTATGCTTTCAGTCACAACCACACAGCTACTTGTTCACTTCACCCTTGTGGGACCCACTGCAGCAGAGGGCAAAAACAGGGGGGAACAGGGAGTGGATGGGTCTATTCTGCACAGGGAGGGTGTTTGTGAGTAAAAAAGAACAAGGGGATCTTTTCATCTGCGGTCCATAAATGCTGAGAAACATCTAAACTATAAATCCAGGAGCCCTGCCAGGCTGGACACATCCTCTCTGCTGCCCTGGATACCAGGCTTCATGTCCCATACATCTGAGAGAGCACACACTTTATTCCTGGCAACGGGGACTTACACACTGAGCGCCTTGTTTGAGAAATCTCACAAATTACTGTCACAGAGATTAAGATGAGGGGTGGACGTGGAGGGAGAATGGAGAGAGGATGAAAACTCGATAAAGACAGAATACAAAAGAGTACAGCCAGTCTCAGAAAAAGCTCCACCACCACGGCGTCCAAAATACACTCCTCATCAACTGAGGTTTTGTCCCCTGCATACTTATTGTGGGGTTTACAGGAAGTAATTAAGTTGACTGTACAGTAGGTCGATGAAAAAGGAATAAATCTTCCTTCTGGAGTGACGTTAAATCAACATTTTCCAGTGTGCAAATACCATGTCAAGATTTGTCTTACTAAAGGTTGGTGGTTATTTTAAGGTTTGATCTTTCCATAAGTTCTGGCTCCTTTCCATACAGTAGAGCCCGAAGGACAAGTCGGAGTCAGAGACTTGGAACAGAAGTTAAGAGACACGCTGTGCTTCAGCTTAATACGTCCAGAGCTGAAGCTGTCGAAACACATTCACGCTAACAAATGTTTTTCCAGTCTCTACTCTCCTCTGATGGGATTACAGAGGAATCCAAACATGGCACAGGTTTATTCATTTATGAGGAAAATAATCACAGGGTTAAAATAGTTCAAGGGAGGACTGTTGACATGAAGCGTGAAATACACAACTAGTATTATAGTAATTACCTAATTATTTTACTGAAGCCTTTATGGGTGTTTCTCTAAAAGTGTGATTTGTGTTTTCCTTTGACTCAACCATGCCAATACAATACTGTAGATCACTGCAGACACAGTAACTACCAATAACCGCTAATGATGACATAAATTTCTTACATAAACTAAAAGACTTAGCACAATTATGATACGGTACATCTTTAATGCTGTAGGCGAGGTACGAAATGACATCCACATGACTTTGTTTGCAGTCTTCAAAGGGAAGTCACATCGTGTTCTTTCAAGCAAGTTTTTCCTGCCTGGGCCACTGTACAGGGGGGCGGAGTTTATTAAACAATGAATTTGACTACAGCACATTTAATAGACCTATTCTTTGACTGACAAAGCCATTCAATATTCTGAGCTATTCAAAGCTGCAGTATTTTTGCAGTATTTTTACAACTACAACTGAAAATAACCTTAGTCATGTAGAAAATAACATGTAATTCCAAATGACTGGCTCCCGCAGTATGTGGGTCAGGAACACATGAAAGTGTTGGTGCTCACAGAGCTGTTCACTGTCACTCACTTTTACTGCTCGAACTCGCTCAGAATATTGTTGAACTACGACAGTATCCCTCTACAGGTTATATACCCTCATTACTCTTTATGGATTCTACTTTCTATCCCGCTCACACCGACCGCTCACTCCACGTCCACTCTGTTGACAAGCTCTGTCCAAACACTAAATTCCGGAATCTTTAGTGTAATAAATTATTATCTGCCAATTATTCTAAATATATAGAGGATGCATTGATTTTAGTTATTTAAAGGGAAAGATCAACAAGAAAGTATGAGGTAACATAGAACACTTACTGTTCTGTATGTGCAATAAATGCAGTGACAACAGAGTCAATGAGTAAATCATTATGATTTTAATCTTGACCAAAACAATCTTGTTTTTTTTTTATATGGTGTTAGGTCGGACTTTATTTCAAGAAAGTTGCTGCAGTGACAAAATAGTTTATGTGATTCACTGTAGGTTTTATTTACACCATAAAAATGCCTGGTACATGATGTGTCTGGTGGTTTCCAGGGAAACAAATCATTTTAAAATATGGAAGTTAATCCTCATAAAATGGAGCCACAGTGAGCAGGGTATAAAATGGCTGTACTCAGTACCAGGTGTGGGAGGTGACGCTCATACACCAGTGTTTGTGCCAAACACATCCTGGTAAATGGATCATGTTGCATTTATGTCAAAAAAAAAGATAAAGAAAAAAACTTAAAATAAAACTCAACGCTGTCATGTTTTGTGAACAGAAGGAAGGAAAAAAAATACAACTGCCTTCTGGATATTTGCACTATGACTCAGCGTCTGCTGGCCTCACATGGGTGTGGTCATCCTGGACTTCGGTTGCATAGCAACACAGCCCACACTTTAGGCAAATACCATGTGCAGTCCACGGTTGAGGTCCCAGAGACGTGGGTCTGCTGATGCCATGGGCAACAGGCTCAAACAACAAACCTGGACCGGGGAACCAGACTCGGGGTTTCCACGAGGTGTGGAATTGAAGTGTAACCTAACGAGGGTGAGTTTTATTTTAAGATCAGCAACGTGGCCTTGGATGACGATAAAAAATAAAGAAAGAAAATCAACACAGGTGCCTTCGTTCACAAAGACACAGGCAAACACACACAGGGAGGAGCAGAGCGGTGATTTATTATCATCCCTCCCATAAAACTCTTCCATCTGGAGAGAATGAATCGACCACATTCTTTCATTCCTCTGAGCAGAAAGGGAGAAAAGAATGATCTGACTTTCACAGGAGATGGACTTGAATTAAACCTGTTTGTTGCTGAATAAGGAAGAGAAAGGCCACAGCATTTCAGACCTGTCAGTCACACTCCAGCCTTAACTTAAAGTCAAACTATTATCTCCATGTCATCAATGAGATACCACAAAAACAGGAAGATACGCTGTGGTATTTGACATGGAGCCTTCATTACAGGGTGACAGCTCATACAGAGGGTTGAAGTGTCTGTTCCAGAGAAACAAACTCTGACTTTACGTCCTCAATTCATTCATTCCTCAGAAAGGCAGGGACAGAACACGGCTGTCGTTTATACAGACGTGGAGGAAGGTTCAGAGTTTCGTCTTTCTGCACAAGTGTGTCGTATTTTACAGCTAACAATTACGCACAGTCTTTCCAGGAAACTTACTTCACATTCTAAAAATGCAATAACAAAAATGAAAACTTTTACTTTTACACCTCACTAGTTGATATTCAATAACCAAAGAGACAAAAAGTTTGGGGAGCTGGAAGGAAAACCTATACTTTGACAAAGACAGAACACCCTAACCATACAGACCAGTAGGGAGACATATGCAGCACTGTTTTATATCTGTCTTAACAGTCAATAGTAATGTTTTACTATCTTTTTTCTTTTTTCTTTTTCTCCCATTTTTCCTTGTCTTTCTACTTCTGTTTTTTTCTCCCATTTTTCCTTGTCTTTCTCTCGCTGTCTTACTTTTCTTGTTAAGCTATGCATTTCATACTTCCATCACTCCATAACTCTTCTTTTCTGATCTTTTTGTTAATTTTGTATGAGCACACTTAACATATTTTGTCACTCCTGTCCTTTTCCAGGAAAAGGAAATTCTTGGCGGCTGCCCTTTGACACAGACTGGTGCAGATCCATTTTCTCTGACTGTAGAAGAGCCAATAGACTAGAAATATGCCAACAGTCTCTCACCAGATGCTGAACTACGCCCCGAAACGTTTGAATCTTGTAAAGAAGAAAGTCTTAGAAATTTCATGTTTTCTTTTTCTTCTAAGTTTTTTTAATGGGTGATTTCAAAGCGCTGTGTACTAAAAAAGGTGCGTGCCTCGGAGCTGGGGTAAATCTTTGTATGTATCCTTCTTCAATTCCATCAAGTTTACCAGAATGTTGTTCATCTAAACAGGCCCAGGTGTAATTTAACTGTGAGTATTAGATTGTACTTCTTTAGATGTATTCTGATGACATTTTTGTTTGGTGGTGCGCAGTGGGATTTTTCAAATGTAAAATATGTGTTATGGCTTTCATTTTTTAAACAACAGCCTGTAAGCTGTTTAAGACACTTTGTCCCTGGTTAAAACAAAAACATGTGACCACTGTTAAAACATGTTCTAGAACCGGGGTCACCAACCTTTTTTAACTGAGAGCTGCAGTGTGTTGCAGTGTGCTTCAAGGGCACTTTGAATATCATTGCAATTGTAACTGATTCAAAAAGCACAGTACAATGTTTGACCCTCTTGTTGACCAGTTTTATTTGTAGACTAAACCCAGCGGGCACCTTAGGTGGTCCATGGGGGCTACCAGGTGCCCCCGGGCACCACGTTGGTGACCCCTGTTCTAGAACATAATGGTTCCCGAAAATAATGGCCTCTTTTGAGTTTTCTGCTGCTGCATCTTGCTCAAATGTGCCCAATATACCAGATAATCTCAATTCCTTTTTGCTTTTCACAGAATGCCACACCCACTACTCACGAGTCTCTACCGCTGGAGGGTAGTATGTTATTTAACTTTACTCAGGGTTGTCTCCACATCCTGTTTTCCACTGTGACACCCTCCACCAAACGTCCAGCTTTGAACAATGGCCAGGCTTCCCTTTTCCAAAGCGTAATAAAAACCAGCGAGCAGGTTCCTGCTCCTGCGCTGAACAATACAGAGGATTGATTCAGGCACTGACTAGAGAAACAGCTTTTCCAGAAGATCGTCTAGGTGAAATCCTAGAGAGATAACAATCAGTTTGCCCTTAAGGACACATGACCGAACAACAGCAGAGAGACGGCAGCTCACAGGTTCTCAGGTTACTGCCCTGACAACTCTCAGAGGTGCTTCAGCCTTTTTTTACAGCCCT